TATTATTGAGATGAAAATTAAATTTCATATATTTGTTGTCAAGAACATTTAATTCCTCGTTTTGCTTAATAGAAGATTTCTTTAGATGAGTTTTCCTAAAATATTTCTTTGTTTAGAGTAGTAAGTTAGGAGTCTTGTTTTCATTTAAATTCTAGAATTAGGGTTCCAAGTAATTGGGGATTTTTGTGAAAGATATTAAGTTAGGAATCTTGTTTTCATTTAAATAATTTTTCCAAATTTTAGGTATTAATTATTTACGAATTAACGAGCTTTTGAAATAATCATCATTTCGTATATTATGCTGCGTCAAGATTTCAATAATAACTACGAACCTAATCTTATGTTCTATATATTAGAATGCAAGATTCAAGAGAACATTTCTATCAATTGACTATATTGATCAAACTCCACAAGATTTAAATCTTTCACTTAAGAAACAATTAAAACTGTATGAAATAAATTAAATATTTAATTAATGCATATTGCATTAAAGAAAGGTATGGCATCTTGAATTAATGTGATTAAAAAAATATGTTTCACCACTAGTGGATACATAATTAATTATTTGAACATAAACAAAAAGGTCTATATGTTTCAGCTGAATGTTTAAGCTTATTTTATTGTGTTCTTGGGCTTTGGGCCTATGGAAACGAGCTTATAGTTGTGGCCATGTAACCTTTTGCACCAAAAATCAATGGTTAGACCTTTTTTTTGGCTGAAAAGAGAGAATATTTGATCACTGGTGCATATAGAGATTGTGAATAAATAAATTTTTGGCAGGTACCTTTAATGATCTTGATCATCATCAAGTTGCAGCTCTGGCAAGTTGCTTCATTCCAGGAGACAAAACAGGGGACCAAATAGAGTTAAAAGCAGAACTTGCTAAACCACTACAACAGCTTCAAGACAGTGCTAGAAGAATAGCAGAGGTGTGTTTAGCTTCTGTGTTTAGACAGTGACTCATGCTGATAGGATATCCTGTCTTGAAAAATCTACATTAAAACTAAGTGCACTTCATTTTGCATATATAGTGGAAAATAGTGGTCTGCATGAGTGATCGTCTAAATTTTTCTATGACCCTTATGTAATTCCTGTCATTTAGTATATGATGATATTTTCTATTGGTTCCATAGCTCAGGTTTGGCAATGTTGAGGATCGGTTAGGATTAACCTTGTGTAGAAAGCTCCATTCCATAGGTTGGGCTATCTCACAGTTTGCTGTAACCCAAAATAATGTGAGTTGTATGTTTTTGATGATTTTTCATATTTGGTAATTGAAGTTGCATATTTGTGAAGTTTTTAAGATTTATGTCCAACTTTGTGTTCTATGAACAACTTCATNNCTTTGTGTTCTATGAACAACTTCATATGACATCCTTTTCAAATCCAGGTTGATTCAGTTGCTGAGGAAGTCGAGAGACAAAAGTCAAGAAATGACATGGTAAAAATTCCATTCTATGTCTGTGCACATGTGCGCATGAGAGAGAGGGAGGGAGGGTCTTGCTACTAAGTGATTTCACATTATATAGGTATTATCAATGAGTTTCTATTAAATTCTGATAAACTCTAAGCTGATTGCTCGCAGGTGTTCATATATGGAGGAGTTGGTCCATTGCATTCAGATGTCACTGTAGCTGGAGTTGCAAAAGTATTTGGTGATCGCACGGTTAGTTGTATCTTCTGTAAGATATTATCATCGCAAGTAGAGCTAAGCTTTGAAAAAAAAAAAAAAGAAGAAGAAGAAAGTAAAAGTAACATTTTTCCAAACATGTTTTTACTTTTTACCTTTTTCTTATAAGAAAAGTCACTTAATTTCAACTTTAACCAATAAAACATTTTTGCTTTAAACTTACTTATTTACTTGAACATTTTTAGCTTAGCAAAACATGGTCTTAGTCCTTAGTAAGGTGCTTTGATCGTTCAACAACAGGCAAAATGGTGCTTGACAATGTTTTGCAACCCTTGTAAAGAGCACCAGTGAACTGTTATTCCAACCGTTCTCACATTTACAAGTACTAACCT